AGGTGGGTCAAGGGAAAGCTTGTGGAAGTTTCATAAGAAGCAGCATTTTTGGACCTGTTGGAGGACAGAACAGTTTGAGCAACAGAGTTTGATGGGTAGGAAATAGAACATGAAATACCAAGCTTTAGCCTTTTAGGTCTGAGCTGTTTCTTGCTAAAGCGTTTCCAAAGGTTTCATTGCCACAATAATGTTTTTCTGATATGCCGAACTTTTCTTAAAATAATTGAAAGCCTAGTGCTATTGCCGGCTTCCTGACAGCTAGTTGTTACTGAAATCAACAGTTGTTTCAAGGAAGGCTTGATTAAAGTGCCACATAGCTATAGTTAGTTGGCATGTGACTTCTGGTTCTCCAGCAGACTTTCTTATCACAAGCCTTTAATGAGGACCATGTAAAGGAGGTTTGCTTTTTTTTTTCTCTCCTTGGGGCTTTTTTTCTTTTAAGAGTGAAACTCTTGAACTTTCCTTTGAAGCAAAATTTGTTTGATGATGAGTGTATCTTACTCAAATATCCTTGACATCCATATCCAAAGATCCTGTATAATCTGTGACGTATACACAGTAGCAATGGGGAACTGAAACTTCTCGTTGTAGCATGTTTTGGGTTAGACACACTCCAAGCATTGAAGCAATTTAATTGTCTTCCAGATGGGTAACAGATCGCCATAGGTAACAGATCTAGGTTACGAGGTAACAGGTCACCATAACTGTTAATTGTTTTTACAGGAAAATTATCTAGGACTTGCTGGGCTAAGAGAAGATCCTGCCCTTAAAGTCCAATTGTCTTAGTTTAGTAATGAGACATGGCAAGTGGGTGAAGCTGGAAAGCGGCTAAAGGGTGTTGTCAGATAATGCTCTTGTGAGGTCTTTTGGGACTAGCTTAAAACATTCACTGCCATCCCAGAAGAGACTGTGCATCATGCGAGTGGTTCTCATCTGTACCTGTGCAATGTTTTCCAGGTCAGCCAAGAGCCACTACTGAAGTCACTTTGAACCCATTTGACACTGAAAGTTAAGAAATGCTTGGACGATCCAGTCTGGTGACTCGACTGTGGGGGAAGTAACTTCCAGCTGTGACACCAAAACAAACGCCTGGGAGTGGCACAGTGAAACTGTGCTGGACACTTCCAGAGGGATTACACCCTAATGTACCCAGTGCCTTTTCAGAAAGGAGCTGATGTAGGCTCTATTGGCAAGGAATAATGCTTGCCTTTTTTTTTTTTTTTTTCAGTAGCTGTAGTGTGAGCTTGTCATCAGCCTGTACCCTCACAGGCAGCAGTGCTCCAGAGTCACTCATGGAAGAATGTCCAAAAGGTTTTAAGGATGGAAAACTGGTTTAGTGCCATCACCACCGAATTTTAAAAGGAGGCACGCTGTGCATGAGATGGGCTTGGAAAAGAGCTCCAGGGTGTTGGGAAGAGAGGCCAACAAGGTGTAACACAGTTGGCACAGAAAAGGTCTTAAAAGACAACACTGGAAGACGTCTGCATTATACTGTGAAAGAAAGAGCATGGTGGAGGGGAGAGCCAAGGAAGGCAGTCCTCTGCAGTGTAAGGTGGGAGTTATATCATAGTAAACAGGTAGGGGAGGAGTGTTATCTCAGGACCTGAGTGGTGTCTGCTGTAGTAAGAGAAACACTCTGAGAGGCCAAGGAGGCATTTAGCATTGTAGATGAAGAAGAGTATTGAAATGTCAACCTCAAAGAACAGAGAAAGAGAGAGTCTGGACTGATCCTCAGAGGGGATCAGATATTGGCACTAGTCATCATGTCAGAGAAGCACTACAGTGGAGAAGACCAAGAGGCCAGGTTCGGTATCTGGGCTTCACAAATGTCAAGTTCTGAGGCAAATAGTTCAGTGTTAGGGGAGGCAGTCTGCAAGGTGGTGCGCTTGTGTCTGCTCACTGAAGACAACACATTCTGTGCTTGAGAGCTGAAAAAGTATTAACATGAGCTAATACAAGTGCCAGGAAGATGTATCTGTAACAGGAAGGGTCTTGCATTTCAGCTGAGGTGACTTGATTGACCCAGTTTCAAGCAGTTAGTTTTCACAATCTTGGCCATGGTTTGTTTTTCAGCAGTTGTGTAGGTGTGTAGTGCAAGCTGGTATTTCCCTCTTCATTTTTATTTTATAGTGTGCCACACATATATTAATAGCACAATGATGTTTTACTTTGTAAGATTCCATTGCATCCATGATATAAAGGAACAGTGTGGTTCACGACGGTCTCCTGGTTTTCTTGTGTTCAATAGGAAATAGCCCGCCATCTCCGACCTGGAACTCTGCGAGCTGTCTTTGGGAAGAACAAGATTCAGAATGCTGTCCACTGCACAGACCTACCTGAAGATGGACTTTTGGAGGTAAGACCTGCTAGACAAACACGTGCTTTTACATTATAGGAAGTTTGAAAGTGAAAAGTTATATTTGACACTGTTTTAATCTGTTGAATTGTTTTATATGTGGAGCAGCTGTGCTGGAGACCGGTGATCAACTAGAAACAAAAGCAAAGATTTCATCAAGGGCATTTAACTCAGTTAATTCTGATACTGTAAAAAATTAGTCCATGCAGTTTTCTTATGTGAATATATTACAATGAAGTGTTTAATGAAATGAAAGTCAAGAGTCTTCTCTTTGGCTGAATATGTCCTTGAGACTGGCTGTCAGCACCTAACACTGCTTCTGCAGAGACACCTTATTAGCCATTTCTTGGGTGACTACCATGACTCCTGGTCTGGATTGCCTTTACAGTGAGGTTGTGTGGGGGTTGGAATATAACAGGCGCTAAGGATTCAAAATCAGATAGTGTCCAGGTTTATTAGTAGACAGGCATAATTATGCACATCAGTTGGTATTTCCTGTGTTTTATATTATCTTACTAATTATTATCTGATTTTGGCTTTGTATGCTTTCATTAAAGTCCAATAAAATGGGAAAATGTTAACTTAAGGGAGTTTATAAAGACAGAAGTACTCACTATAAAAACCAGAACAAGCTCACTCACCTAATTTCATGACTCAAAACTGAGGTCTGCATAAGGGGGTAGAAGCAGTGTGTAAGCTTATCTTGGATGGATCTCTGCATCAATGCAGGTGTTCTTCCAGTGCATGCATAACTTCTGTTTTACTGTCTACATGTATTTGTGAATGTTTTGCTGTCAGACTATAGTAGCATGGTGGAGCAGTACGAGTTTTCGTAGCTTGTATTATTTTACATTGCCAAAATGGTGTTTTCACTGAGGGGGGGAGCAAGAGCTAACTGCGTCACTGTCTCCCTTCATGAAATAAAATAAGATCTGTGGGTTAAAGCGCTCTTTTCTGGGGAATTGCGTCTAGTTTAAGGATTAGACTAGTGAAATTCAACACTGAGAATGGCAGCCATTTCCAAGCTGACATTAAAAGTTGATAACTTCTAGTTTCTGCCCAAAGGGACTGGATTTAAACACTCAAACAGGTATTTGTTACCACATGCCTAAAATCCCTCAGTCGTGGCTTTTCAGGGTGAGAGGAAAAGGCATAGCCTACAAGGGAGAAATTAAAGTCTCACTAACACTCACAGAGCATTTTAGTACTTCAGCAGAATTTTCCCTCTCTCTCGTGTCCACAGTCTGACTCCTTTATGGGGGTGCAAAGCAGACATAACCCCATTTTGCTGGTTGTTTAAATTGAGTTTACAGCTACCGTCAGTGAGGTGGATGGAACAAAGCAGTGGAATTGCTTCTTCAAAACAAAAAATGAGGCTGGAGTTCTTTCTCAAGGTCTCCACTATATGAGTTTGTACTTTGAATCCCACAGCTGAATCATAAGCTAAGTTTTTGATCTAGTATTACTGTGACTACACACTTTGCAGTTCCCATTGCAGACTGGTCATTTTAACAGTCATTTACCGATTGTATTTTTTTGGGAAAAGGGTTTAAAACCTGTTTTTACCATAGGCATAATTGGACACAGAATGTGACTCTTCATCTGTCTGTAGTTTCTTTTATAACAGTCCAGGTTAAGCCAGCAGTTGTAAAAGACAGCAGTCAGTGTTCTCTAATGAGTAAATAAAGCAGTGAATGTTTCATTCTGATTGTTTGGCAAATAAGCGTTATAATGTAAAATATAGAAACCTTTTCACTTTAATTCTTGATGTATCTTTAGATCTGTGTTCTGCAAGAAAAGTAGTGGGCTGAAAAGTTAGGTAAACAAAATAAAAAACAACTTCTGGATTTGCGTAAGTGCAAGGTCTTGTCACAACTGATGAAAAGGAAATGATACAGTACACACAGAGTCATTGCTGGGAGGGGTTTTTACCTCTGTGAGCTTTTCTGTGAGAGGAGCTCAAAGCCAGTCACAGGGGTCTCATTTGCTGGCAAGCAGAAACCAGACCTTTCTCCCCCCTCAGCCCCAGTAACTGTAACAGCACTGTACGTGCTGGGCTAGAGCAGAGTGCCTGTGTGCCATACAAGACAACCATAGAAGGAAACTGAGCCAGACTAACATTTTTAAGAAGTATGCTGTTCAGTAAATGGTAGTGAACATTTTCATTCTTTAATGGATAACTGAGTATTTTAACATACTGAGTTTAACACAGCAATTATTCTCAGCCTCTGAGGTGAATTCAGAGCTAGGTAAGACACTTGTCATTGAGGAGAATGACCTTGGCTATGTTGGCGCAGTGGAGCTTGCTTCGTTTGATTTGGAGTTAGCGTATGTTCATTATGTCCATGTTCTGGTAGAAGATGTTACTGTGGCTGAGATGTTAATGCTGCTGTTGCTTTAAAAGCTTTACAGTAGCATTGTAGGACAACTGATGAGTAGAGGAGGAGTCTGGAGTAAATTTCAGAGAAAAATCTGACCTACTAGATTTATACTACAAAGATGAATGATCCTTTTTAAAACCCCAAAGAAAATTAATTAATCCCTAGCAGTCTCTCTTCTTTCTTCAGGTGGCATTTGTACAGTGTTAATACTCTGCTGCAGTTACTAGCCAGTATAGCTCCAAAACCCACCCTATATGCAAATTCTTGCACTCCTGTTTTGCTGATGAAAGGTAAATTTGGCAATCTGAATTCAGGCACAAGAGCTAGGAACTCCAGAGTTTCATTTCTAACTCTGGTGCTGATTTTATCTGATCTTGGCTAAACACTTGTCACATTTTTGCATGAAAGTGTTTGGCTCTGAAGTTCTGTATGAAGATGTTCTGATTTGTATTTCTCTTCTCCAAAATAAGATACTAAATGCAACAAATTTTAGAAAGCAAACTGCAGAATCATTATTACAAATAATGACACTAATTTCTAACAATGACACTAATTTCTAACACTATTTTTTCCCCCAATTCCCACTACATATATGTTGACGGGTTTGGTTTTTGGTTGTTTTTTTTTTTTTGGGAGGGGGTGGGTGGGTGGGTGGTTGGTTTTGGTGTTTTGGTTTGGTTTGGTTTGGTTTGGTTTTTGTTTGTTTGGTTTTTGTTTTAGGTTGTTGTGGTGGTGGTTTGTTGGTTTGTATGGGTTTTTTTTTCCAGACTAGGAAATAAGTTAATTGCTTTTCTGAAACCTGTTAAGCTTTCTTGGAAAGAGGATGCTATGATGTAAGCTTTCTGAAACTCTTAGTGAACCGGAGAGTTGGACCTCATGGAACTGTTACAGCCCAAAAGCAGGCAGAGCCAGTCTGATACACCGTGAATAAAAATGTTTCCTGCCTTTGATTCAGAGCTTCTGTACAATCTTGGCCATGTTTGATGGTTGAATCATCCTTTTCCGGAGGTTCCCATTTCCAGTTCAGCCTTTCCTTACCAGGTGTAGGGGCTGCAGAGTAGAAGTCCCAGTATCTCTGAGCTTGAATGGAGCCCAGTGGGTTTGTGCAAAGAAAGCCTTAGCTGTGTCTGTTGGCTGGTGTGTGGAGTACTTATGCTGGTAGTGCTAAACCAGCTTACTAGAGGTCCCTGCCACAATCCTGACTCTGTTGTGGCCGCATGTTCTGTGTGTACATCCGCAGGGTCAGCAGCACCCAAAGGACCTTGGAGGCAAGAGGGTCAAAGGGACTACTGCAGTTGCCACTTTGTGGATGGGAAGCTGATTAGGTTGTGTGTTAATTGGTTAATTGGCTTTGTGACTTCTGAACTTCCAGAACCAAACGGAGACGGAAAGGGGAGATATCTAGTTGACCTACTATCCTATTATGGGCCTTAAATGCACAGTATTTATGGAAGCACAATAAAGGCATGTTCCTGCATAGAAGGGAACACACCGACGCTTTCCTGAGGACTCAGTTAGGTATCCTTAGTGCCAGATACTGCTTATTTTAGGATTTCTCCACCCTTCTCTGCAGTTTTCATCACCCACAGTTTAAGATCTAACTGAAACTTGGAAAGTGTTTGCAATGACAGCTGCTCTTTGACTGTCCACAAATGGAAACTTCTTAGAGGAGATGAGATAGGTAATTGAGGGCTAGATCAAATGCTTGCTGAAGTTAATAGCCAAACTCTAGGTGACTTTGGTGGTTCATACTTAGTTGACAGTCACTAGAAAGGACAAGATTGTGACCTTTCTCCCAGAAATCATGACCAAGGAGTAGCTGGGGAAAGGAGAGAGAACAATGCTGTCTCTGGAACAGCGAGGACTAGTTAACTAAGTAAGCGTCAGCTTGTGCACCTAGTTTTAGAACACAGTATTTAATAAATGTAGTACACTGTTTTTTTAATGCTTTTTTGTTAGAACTCTTTTCCGTGGACCTGGAAAAAGGAAAGTTCACTTTTAATCTTAAAAAACCCCAAACAACAAACAAACAAACCCCAAAAGTAAATACCAGCACTTGCTCCCACCAGTTTGACCCTTAACTGCTGTCTTTGTTCTACAAACTACTTCACATTCTAGGCAGTGACTAAAGCATACCAAAATTAATGAATAACTAACTCACTTTGGCTCAAAGAGGAGGGGGATGCAGTTGAGCTTAAAACGCAACTGGTCACAATGGAAAAATCAGTGTATTTTCTGTTGTAAACCTGTAATTGCTTCTTTTATTCTTAGCTTAGTGATACAGGAGGAGGGTGAATATTACCCTGAAGTCTCTTGGATGAGCTCTTTGACTTACTGGGTCAGGCACTTATTTATTCACTTCATAGACTTGTGTGTCCTCATATCAGTACGAAAAGTATTTTCACAAGTGACAATGGATAGACACAAATAGCTCAGAACAGTCCGTTTTCTCAGCCTTGTCACCAGTTTCCCATTTTAATGGGGAGAGGAAAGAAAGGAGGAAATAAAGAAGGGAGTTTTATAGCGAAGGAGTATTTATTTATGGGATGATGGGGTTTCATGAATGAAGGCTAAACCAGCAGTTTCTTAATTTTTCTGATCAACTGATGATGTGTAGGA